TACTGCTACTACTACGACCTAACTACGACTACTACTACGACTACTACTACTACTACTACTACTACTACTACTACTAACTACTACTACTACTACTACTACTACTACTACTACTACTACTACTAACATACTACTACTAGTACTACTACTACTACTATACTACTACTACTACTACTACTAAATTCTACGACTACTACTATACTACTACTACTACTACTACTACTACTACTACTACTACTACTACGCTGCGACTTTCTACTACTACTACTACTACTACTACTACTACTACTACTACTACTACTGCGATTACTACTACTACTGCTACTACTACTATTACAGATACTACTAGCACGACTACTACAACAACAACTACTACTACTACTACTACGACGACTACTACTACTACTAGTTCTACTACCGTTATTGCTACTGCTACTCCTACTCCCACTACTACTACTACTACTACTACGACTACTACTACTACTACTACTACTACTACGGGCACTACTGCTACTACTACCACTACTACTACTGCTACTACGACGACTACTACTACGACTACTACTACTACTACTACTTTTACTACCACTAGTACTACTACTACTACTACTACTACTACTACTACTACTACTACTACTACTACTACTTCTACTACTATGATTACTACTACTACTACTACGACTACTACTACTACTACTACTACTACTACTACTACTACTACTACTACTACTACTACTACTACTACTACTACTACTACTACTACTACTACTACTACTACTACTACTCTACTACTACTACTACAACTAACTAATACTATTACTACTACTACTACTACTACTACTGCACCTCCAACTGCTACTACCTATTGGTATTGATATTACTACCACTATGCCTACTAGTACTACTACTACTACTACTACTACTACTACTACTACTACTCCACTACTTCTGCTGCAACGACTACTATTACTACTAAACTACTACTACTACTACTACTACTGCTGCTGTACTACTACTCTACTACTATACTCCCACTACTACTACTACTACTACTACTACTACTACTACTTACTACTCTACTACTACTACGACTACTACTACTACTACTACTACGACTACGACTACTACTACTACTACTACTACCATCACTACTACTACTACTACTACTACTACTACTACTACTACTTCGACTACCACTACTACAACTACTACGACTACTACTACTACTACTACTACTACTACTACTACTACTACTATGAATATTACGACTACTGCTACTACAACTACTACTACTACTACAACTAATACTACTACTACCACTACTACTACTACTACTACTACTACTACTACTACTACTAGTACTACTACTACTACTGCTACCAGTATTTACTACTACCACTATATAGAAGATGACGTGGAATACCCTGACCATGGGGTAGATCCACACGTGGGGGTCACGCAGCAACACGAACTCTGCGCCGCACAGGAGGCGGTGCAGGGTCATGAAGTCGTCCTTCCAGTCCACCACCGATGATGCCGATGCCCATCTCACAGACGGCCCTCAGCATGGTAGCCCTTCTGACATTTGATGCAGGGTCTGCCGCATACGTTATCCACCCACTCTTGGCTGAGACCCGCGGGAGGCTGGTCCAGAACGTGGGCGGCAAGATATACTTTGAAGAAAGATCAGCTCGAAGCCCGTCCCAGTGCGGGCACTCCACGACCTGATGTCGGATGGATGGCCAAAGATGGCCGCAGTGTGGGCATGGTAGCCCCGTCTGTCGACGTGTCTCCGATGAAGCTGCTCCCGAGCGATACACAGAGAGGCTAAACTTCTCGGCAATACTCAATGAATGAAACCATTTTGTAAAAATCTTGTTGCTGCAGGCGTCGACGTCAACTGATTCAACTTCCTCAGCGTCTTTTCTGCGGGGCTCAACAATCTGAAGGCACCTGATCCTGGCAATGACTCGGAGGACATGTTGTGCCCTCTTGGAGTGCGTCCAAAATCTGAGTTGAGCATCCGCCAAACCTTCCACGATCTGCAATACTCTGAAGTCGTCCATCGACGAGACTTCCAGTAATACACCACGTTCTTCTGAAAATCGTATATACTCCAATCCCAACGTTTGAGCATGGACTTGGATCGAGTTCTCCAGGAAAGATGACCAAATCAACTTTTCATCATGTAAACGTCTGAAGGCGAAGAGGCTGCAAGAATAGACAGGGTGGAGCATGATGTTCTGACACCACCATCTGCCCAGGCACCACCATGTGTTCTGGGTGCGCCACACTGCTCTCGCCAAAAGCTTTGCCGTCGCAGTCGGTGGGGGTGTCACGATAGGGGCTCCCCACGTCCACAGAGGTCTTAGGTATGTATAGGCCAGCCGCAATCTCACCATGCAAGATCCAGGAACAGACTGAAGAATAGAAATCCCAGTGTGAAGTTTGGCCCAGTTGTCTTTTGGTATAATGGCCCATGTCGCGTCGGTGGGACAAGCGAGGAGACCGAGGTGTTCAATCTGCTGAGGCTCTGCGTCCATGGTGGACCATATCTGCGTTTTCTTGTTGTTCGCTTTGAAACCCACGTCATTGTCAAACGTAGAAGTTTCAGCCATGTCGTCCAGCAGCCCCTGCGGGCTATCTCCAACAATATAGCGGTCATCCATAAAGCATCCCGAGGGGCCAGACGTGATCCAAGGAACAAGGGTACTGATCATGGTCCCAGGTGCTGTGCTGTCTCCTTGTGGCAAACCTCGGTCTGCGTATATTGCCCTCTCTGCCAGTTCTCCGCTGAGGCTGCACCAACGAGGGCCTTTCCATGCCGATTTGCATACATATCGTACTGCCAGGGGGTAACGTGAGCGCTCCATTGCAGCACTCGCAATTTCATGAAGAATATTATCATAAGCGCGGCTGAGATCTAATTCGCATCCGTCTGAACTCAATTCGCAATGTCGCAACCACTGGCTGATCGCGTGAGTGACTGACACGTGCTTTCTATTAGCCCATTGACCTTCTGGAGGCTCAGGAGCTGCAAATGCCAATGCTCTGAGCCAAGTACGTAGCAACACGCTGCCCACACTGATAGGCCTCGTGTCATCCTCTCCCTTGGGCATACCTGCCACTCGCCAGGCGAATACCAGATCGTGGAGTTCACCTGGTGGACAGCCTTCATGTTCTATGCAATACCTGGAAGTATCGCACCACAGCGTGTAGAGTTCTGCGATAATTTCTGGATACAAGTCCGCCAGGATACGGATCTCTCTGAAAGACCACCCATCCAATCCTGCACAACCCTTTGAACTTCTCAAAGCTTCATCAAACTGTTCCTTCGTTGGCAGCCACATCTCATGCAAAGTCGACTTCGGGAACTCAACTTGATCAGCACGATGTTGCCAGGCTCGAAGGTGTGCTTGTTTGTCAATATTCCCAGGCTTCCACTGTGTTTCCCACTCCTCGGCGAACTGCGAGACGTGGCAAGAGGAGGCCGGGGGCGCCTGCTTGAACATGGGCGTGGCCACCTTATACACCTCAGTAGACCACGCTGCAAATTTTTCTTTCCAGGATCTCTGGGCTTCACGTTGTAATTTAATATTCTCCGCTGATATGGCCGCTGTAAGCCACTGGAGACAATCCGAATAACAAGGAATACCTTCTGCTTTCATATTGACAATTCCCTCGAAGGCAGCTCTGGCAATATCCGTAAAGTGTCGTGGAGAGACCTCAGCCATCGCTGAAGTTCCCTGCCTGAGCGCCTCCGAGAAGCGACGATGGAGACGGAGAAGACGCCTATGTGCAATACTTTGTTCTGGTCGAAACCGAGGTCCATGTGCCGCTGGCCTCTGCGTGGGTTGGGAGCCCTTGCTCCTCTCAGGTAGGCGGTCAATCTCTACCAACTTTTTGTCCACTGCAACGTTGAGTGCTGCCTCTGCTCGTTCGTGCCAGTAGCGCCATCTCGTGACCAGCGGGACATCTGTGTCGTCATTGAGATCCAGGTCGATGGCTCCATCAATATGGGGAGCCGCACACACTGCATCAAGTGATTCCTTCAAGAGGCTCTTGTACTCGGCCGTAACCGTCTTGGTGTTGACCACAGGTAGAAAGGAAGCCGTGTGGTGTAGTCGGTACCGTGGGATCGTAATGTATGGTATCTCCAACTGGTACTTGACCATCGCGTGGTGAGGCACCCCTGGCAAGAGCTTGGCGCCTAGGTACTTTGGTGGGGCATCCTGCGGGTTTCCCCAAGATATCGCCCTTGTCGGAGCCGTGCCGATCGCCGTGGTCACCTGAGTAGATTGGTCATGCGATACGTCCAGCTGCCATCCGATGTCTAATAAAGTATTATATGAAGCTTTCCAATTGAGGTCCCCTATGATGTAGAGGGGGTGGCCCAGATGGCCCAGTGATTTGGCATAATCCAGAGCAGACAAAAACCATGATCGATCGTACCACTGTGGCCCGTACATACTCAAGATTGTCGCTTTGGTAGTTCTGATCCCCACCATCCGATGGTCGAGCTTGTCGTCTCTGATGACGCTGATCTTTCCCATGGCCCGTCGCCACAAGATCGCACAGCCGCCCTGTGTCGTTGCCACTCTCGCCCCAGGAGGAGGGGGCTTCGAGCATGCTGCGCCCCACCCTCGTCGAGCACAGAAGTTGATCAGCCACCTCGGCCTCATGTCAGGGAGTCGTATCTCCTGGAGACATAGTACACCGACGTCGTCTGCAACATTGTCCAGGATCTCTGACAATCTGGCCTTTGAGATACTGGTGACATTGATCGTGGCTACCTGCAGGCGATCGAGGCCCTCGCCCTGGTCATTCTCTGAGCCCTGGGGCTCAGTCTCGTCGACGTGATCCTCGGCATGTTCGGTGTGGGCGGGGCCTTCACCTGTCCCTGATGGTGTTGAAGTCTTCAAGCGTTTGGAGGATCTCGGACTCTGAGTAGATGATCTCCGCAACGGTGCTGGTGTCGTCGTCGGTCCCGTCGTTGTCCCCGAAGGTGTCGACGTGGCGGCCCGTGCCTGGGGTGTTCCCTCGCATTCGGGGCTTCCCCAGGCTTGCAAAACGTGGCGACGCTGCCTGAGGTGTTCCCACGCAATCGGGGCTTCCTCAGGACTTGCGTCCTGACGCCGCTGGGCCTGTCCACGCCGCTGTCTTTTGGACTCTCTGTGAGAGTCGAGACATTGATCTGCAAATACAGTCTTTGAATTCGAAGAACTAGAGAAATCAGTCTTTGGAGCAAGTTCAGAAACTGCTTGGTCTGCAAATACAGCCTTTGAATTCTGGGACGGGTCCGCGGCACTTATGTCCATGACCCTTGCTTTCTTTGAAGCCGTAGTAGCCTCTGAAGATGAGGCCCTCGATGCTTTCACATTTGTCGAAGCTTTCTTCTGACGCTTGGGTAGTGGTTGCCCCTGGGAGTCATCGTGGCCCTCAGCTCGGCGGCCTCCTCCTCCCAGGAGCGGATCCCGCCACGTCGATGCTGAGGCTGCGGCTGCCTCCTCCTGCACAGGCACCTCACTGGGAGCCACTGCTGCAGGTCTGCGTAGCATCCGCATCAGCTTCCGCCTCTTGAAATACTCTTGGCGCTTGGCCTTCATCTCTGGAGTACGTTGTCTGCGTCTCTGCTTTTCCTGCGTCTTCTTATGTGCCGTCTCGATCTGGTCAGCGTAGTCCCTGCTGACCATCCTGACCCAGACGTCATGCGTGGCCTCCTTGACTTTGCGTGGGTCTCCTGGTCGCCTGGCACAGACTGCCCACGCGGTGTTACCTTTCTTCAGGATATGCTTGGCCAACGTCTTACGTCTGCCGCATCTTGTACAAGAATATACCGTGTTGCCCTGCTTGCCGTCCTTGACCGTTTCGACATTGTCCTCCGTGATCTGGCAGACGCTGGGCTTCACATCTTCGGGTAGAGACTGGTACCATGTGGTGTACCTCCTCCAAGCTTTGTCTCGCTTTCCTCTGTCCATGTAGGATATGCTGGTCACCGCCCTCAGCCGTGCTGCCCTATTCTCAGGTGGCTCCTTGGGCGGCGGTGTGCCCTTGCAGGCACGCCAGTGTACTCGTGCTTGTTGTAGAACATGGCAGGGTGCATGAGCCCCATCGGGCTTCCACCCGCAGTCGCAAAAATAATAGTTGTAGCGCTCAGGACGGCATGCTGGTAGATCATGATCAGGGAGAGGATCATCGACAGCCTCATCACCAACTGATAGTCCCAGAACACTCCTAGCGCGTGCCAGTCGTTTAGCCGTTGGCTTCGAGGATGCCTTGGCCGTCACCTTCGAGGTCTTAGAACGCCCCGACTGACTGAGGCCCAGCATACTCCTGGCTGCATTCAAGGCTTTCGTGGTCTTCTTGGTCGAAGCTGGGCTGAGACCCAGCATACTGCGTGCTCCTCTGGTCGAAGGAGCTCTCGCCGACGGTGTGTGTGGTGTGCTGCCCGTTCCTCCCCCCGTAAATCGTGCTGGGTATGGGAATGCTGCAGTCGTCCATCGTGTCAAAATCTCCTGGGGTAGCTCAACACCCGCCTTTGGAAGAAGAAGTTTGTAGTGCTTGTCCACCAACGTTGCCCACACCGTCTGCTTGGTCTTGATGTCCGCTGGGGCGGTATACAAGGTCCACGTTCCAGTGCGGGACTTTTTCCAGATGGAGAAATTCGTCTTCGTGGTGACCGCTGCTGCTCTCACCATGGCCGATGTGGCCCATTCCCCAGTCTTGGCCGCCTTGCGGGCCTCGTCCTGGGGGTAACGTTTGTTGTCCGTCATGGTGGCGGACACGATCATGCGCAAATTGGCTTGAAGTGCGCCGCCAGGGCCCATCTCCTTCTCCGCCATCTGCTTTGGCTTGGACTGGTTCGCTCGTATACCGTGGGAGGCCATCAAGAAGAAACAATCTCCGTCACCCCCACAGCACTTCTCATTGAAATATGCCTCCCACGGAGGCTTCATGGGCGCCTGTGGAGCTTGTGGTGGTGCTGCTGCTGCTGCTGAGGCTGCTGCTGCTGTGCCTGGCTGCGGCGGCCGCTGCGGTCCACCTTCCTCGGCATTCGCCATGCCCACGTCGCCGTCCTCGTCTCGTACTTCTGCTTTCACTTCTGCTGTCGTCTCCTGCACTGGGGCTCTGGCCGGCGCGGGAGTCCCCCACGCGGATGCCCCTTTGGCCTGTGGAGGCGGTCGTGATGATGTCCTGCGAGGCACAGCTAGGCTAGCTATGATCCCCGACTTGAAGGTACATACCTGGTCTTTGACCAATCCGTCCAGATCAGCTCGTAGAAACCAGGCTCTCTTGCTCGATCGTGTGATGCCATCAATATTTTGGAACCCTCTGGCTTTGGCCCACTCCTCGACCTCCTGGGATGATGACCAGTGCTCAGGGCACTTCTGCAAGTACCATCGAGGTTGGATATCCGCTGCCATGGGCTTCTGCGATAAGATTCCTAAGGATGCGTTGTCCGACGGGCGGTACACCAAGCGGCCCTCGACCTGGGCGGCTGCAGCAGTCACCCTGGTGAAGTACGTCATCATGTTCTCGCCCTCGCGTAGTTTGTGCCACACTGGCACCAGCTTACTGGATTGTCTATTCAAAAATACCCCTGGCGGGGCGGCCCACTTCAAGAATGCCTCTGTGTCATTCTCTCGCACAAGAATAATCGCAGTCGACTCCGTCTGATAGTTGACTGCTCCCTTGACCTTCAAAATCTTGGCTGCCAGCACTTGAGGAAATAGTACCGTCGCCATCGCCACTGGTTTCTCCTTGACCGTCGCATACGTAGCATCGTCGGCGAACGCCTCCGCAATCGTGAGTCGTAGTGCCGCCGTGGCCAAGGGGGGTGCGGTTGAGACCTCATCGTCCTTCAAGCCCGTGGGTAGCCCCTGGCGAGTCGGTGGCGAGGTCCCCGTCATAATAATCTGAGCCGTGTGCGGTCTGACCCCAACAGACGTCTCACACATGACCTCCATAGTAGTAGCCCCAGGCAAAATCGACGGTGCATTGAACACAATGAACGTCATCCCACTGGGTTGTTCTTTGATGGAGCCGAGCCACTGCGTGGCCTGCTCGTACTCTGTGGGCGACTGGCACGCGATGACTGCAGGGCCCTCCAGCGTCGTCGTCCTGATATTCGCGGCCTTGACGATCTTAGCCGCTCCCCACGGCTGAGAGTGTACGACCAGCTTCGTATCCTGCACCTTCTCGGCAGCAGGTCCCCCATTCAACCACGTCGAGGCTGCCGTGGTTCTCGAGAGGAGGCCGCGCAGCTTCTCCTGCACTTGCTCCTCTGTGACCTTGAGACGATTGACCCGCATGTACTTCAGATATTCCCGAATCTTCTGAAGCGTTGGCGGTACTTGGGCATTCTTGGGCGTGCGCTTCTTGGGCGGCTTCCCCACAGCCACCAGAGACTCCACACCCATCTTTTCTGTCAACTTATTCAAAACTGTGGTGATCTGCGTCACCTGATTGGCAAGATCGGCTACCTCACGACGCCCCTTCGTCGCTTTGGCTGCATTCTTCCCGCCACGTCTGTTGACTCCTCCTCCGAGCAATGGGTCGTCTGAGGAATCTGCATCTTCAAATGATCCGTCTCGCTGAACGTCTGGTTCAGCAGTACTCACTACAAGACCACCAGGGTCGAGGAGCGTTACTTCTTCCCAAGAAATCTGATGTTCGTCACCTCGACTGCGGGGTGCAGTCTTCGCCTCGGACAAGGGGTCCGACCCGACGGTCCCGAGCACAAGGTGCAGGAGGGTGGTGACAATACCGTCTACTACTACCACTACGACTATTACGAATACTCTTACTACTACGATTACTACTGATACTCCTACTCCTATTCCTACTCCTACTCCTATGCTCGAGCTGGCTAGCTTGATTCCTACTCCTACTCCTACTCCTACTCCTACTACTACTACTACTACTACTACTACTACTACTACTACTACTACTACTACGACTACTACTACTACTACTACCTACTACTACTACTACTACTACTACTACTACTACTACTACTACTACTACTACTACTACTACTACTACTACTACTACTACTACTACTACTACTACTACTACTACTACTACTACTACTACGACTACTACTACTACTACTACTACTACTACTACTACTACTACTACTACTATTACTACCACTACTACTACTATTACTACTATACTACTACTACTACTACTACTACTACTACTACTACTACTACTACTACTACTACTGACGAGCCACGGCTACCAGAAATACAGCTACTACCGCTACTACTACTGCTACGACTATGCTTACTCTGCTACTCTGCTCTACCGGTACTCTACTTGTACTTCTACTTATACTTCCACTTCTACACACTACTACTACCACCACCAATAACCAATGTTATACTAACTACAAAGACTACCAACTCTTAACTACTACTACTTCTACTTCTACTACTACTACTACTACTACTACTACTACCTACCTAACTAACTACTTTCCTACTACTACACGCACGACTACTACTACTAACACTACTACTACTACTGTTACTACTACCTACTACTACTACTACTACTACTACTTACTACTACTAGTGAGCTATACTAGCACTACTAATCACAATGCAACTATACTAGTAACTGTAACTACTACGACTCACTCCTACTCATACTAACTACTACTACTACTAACTACTACTACTACTAACACTACTACTACTACTGCTACTACTACTACTGCTGCTGCTGCTGCTGCTACGACTTCTACTACGACGACGCCTACTACTACTACACCGTTACTACCACTACTACTACCACGACTACTACTACTACTACTACTACTACGACTACTACGACTACTACTACTACTACTACTACTACTACTACTACTACTACTACTACTACTACTACTACTGCTACGACTACAGCTACTACAAGTATTACTACGACTACTACTAATAATACTACTACTACTACTACTACTACTACGAATACTACTACAAATACTACTACTACT